GAGAGAATGAGCCTTGCACGTGCAGACCGCAGTCGGTGTGCTACGAGCATTGCACATGCAGACCGGGGTGGGTGTGCTACAAACTGACGTGCACGGCACCCTATTCGCCGATCTATAGCGGTGTGCCAAATTTGAGTCAGGTCAAGTCAGGTCAACCGCTAGGGGTCGTGACGGGTATTCGTAATACGGCACCCTATTGGCCGGTCTCTAGAGGTGTACCAAATTTAAGCTCAATCGGCCCGGCCGTTCTCGAGATCTGAAAGTGTCACCCTGCACGTGCGCACGTGCAGCTACACCCCATCCGTGACACATGAAAATACATACTAACTGACATGCGCACGGCACCCTACTGATCGGTCTCTAAAGGTGTGCCAAATTTGAATGCAATTGGCCCGGCCGTTCCTGAGATCTGGAAGCGTCACCCTGCACGTGCGCACGTGCAACCTGGGACCCAACTGATCTGTGCAAGGCACCCTACTACGCAGTCTTTGGCGGTGTGCCAAATTTGAGTGCAATCGACCCGGCCGTTTACGAGATCTGGAAGCGACACCCTGCACGTGCGCACGTGCAGTCTGGGCCCCAATTGACTTTTGCACGGCACTCTATTCGCCGGTTTCTAGCGGTGTACCGAATTTAATCTGAATCGGCCCAGCCGTTTCCAAGATCTGGAAACGACCCCTACACGTGCGCACGTGCAGCTGCACCCCAACCTTGGCAAATGGAAATACACACTAACTGACTTGTGCACGGCACCCTACTAACCAGTCTCTAGTGGCATGCCAAATTTGAGCACAGTCGGCCCGGCCGTTCTCGAGATCTGGAAGCGTCGTCCTGCACGTGCGCACGTGCAAAATGAGTCCCATCTGATTTGTGCACGGCACCCTACTCGCCGATCCCTAACGGTGTGCCAACTTTGATCACAATCGGCCCAGCCGTTCTCGAGATCTGGAAGCGTCACCCTGCACGTGTGCACGTGCAGCGGCACCCCAACCGTGACACATGGAAATGCATTGCGCGTCGGGTGCCTACAACCATGCCAAGTATCAGCGCAATCGGCAAACTAACTACAGAGTTATTAGACTTGTTACCGAACTGACACCTCTTCGTTTTGCACGTGGCACGTGCATTAGGGGTCACCCATACGCATCGAGAACAGCACACTACGTGTAAGAAAGGAAGAAGCTATCCCACACAAAAGACCGCGAGTGAATCGGTCCAGTGGTTGCAGAGATATAAGGTTTGTAAAGGCACCCCACAGGCGGCCTACTGCTAATATTTAGCAATAATCAGTGTCACACCCGCACACGGGAGGTATCCCCGTCACCTGTTCGTATCCTCTAATGTGGTTGGGTTCAAGTCACAGTCGAGCCCTGATTTTTTACAGCTTTTCTTAAAAACGGCACATCGTGCAGTGACGTTCTATACATTGTTGGAAAGAGCATCGAAAGTCGTATATTATATCAACTTTTCACCTATATATATTACTAACGATAAAAGTTACAGAGGAATAAAGACGCACCCATTGACTTTCCATGTTAAAAATTTTAATTTTCAAATGAACTTTATAAGAAAAAATGAGTTCTCCCAGCTTAACGAAGCATAACGGCATGTACTATGGTCTTTCTTCTACAAGATGTATGAGTTTGGGCGAAATCTATCTCTAAAATTTTGTACAAAGATCGAATGAAAATGTCTCCGCAAAGTCTCGACATCGCCGTCCATTGACTTAACATGGGACACAGCAAAATTCCAACTTTGACCTCGTGCAAAGACACGTTCCGAGATTCTGAGGGGTATACAGCGCACACTGGCGTGTACCCAAACGTGTTTGCCATAAAATGCTGGGAAGAAAACCACCTCTTCCTTGGCTCGTTTTCCCGCCATTGGCGATCGCGCAAAAAGTGTCCAAAACCCCGTTCACTTAACATGGGGAAAATGGAATCGCACGTGCCACGCGCAAAAGACTTCTTAGCGAGTAGCGACCGGTGCCATCAGGTAGATCGCCTGCGGGAGCCCATACCCTGAACTTTTTACGAAGATTGTACATTTCGTCTAGGCCCCCGTCAAGTTCTACTGATTCGCGGCCAGACTTGCAAAACATACCCCGGACAACGACCGCTCCGGTTGTTTTTCAATAGAAAAACACAATTCTAACGAATAGTGTTTGTCTTTTTCAAACAACCTGCGGTTACATCTGACGTGTTTTCATCGCTCTAGCACGTCTTTATCAAAAGTTATAGCCAAAAACTGGTGGTGACCGTTCATGACCTGAGATGACCTCAGGGGCACACAGAGGGGTCACAGGTGCATTTTTCCGATTCAGTGTGTGTTAGGTTAGGTTAGGTTAGGTTAGGTTAGGTTAGGTTAGGGACACAAAAATAAAAAGTTGAAAAATTAACTTTTTTTAGCCCTCGTTTGGTTAGCCCCAATTGACTTGTGCACGGCACTCTATTCGCCGGTTTCTAGCGATGTACCAAATTTAATCTGAATCGGCCCAGCCGTTTCCAAGATCTGGAAGCGACCCCTACAGGTGCGCACGTGCAGCTGCACCCCAACCGCGGCACATGAAAATACATACTTACTGACTTGTGCACGGCACCCTACTAACCAGTCTCTAGTGGTATGCCAAATTTGAGCACAGTCGGTCCAGCCGTTCTTGAGATATGGAAGCGTCAGCCTGCACGTGCGCACGTGCAAACTGGGTCCCATCTGACTTGTGCACGGCACCCTACTCGCCGAGCCCTAACGGTGTGCCAACTTTGATCACAATCGGCCCAGCCGTTCTCGAGATCTGGAATCGTCACCCTGCCCGTGCGCACGTGCAGCGGTACCCCAACCGTGACACATGGAAATGCATCGCCTGGAAAGTGTCTACCTCCATGCCAAGTTTTAGCGCAATCGGCCCCGTAATTACCGAGCTATTGCGCTTATTACAAAACAGGCAACTCTTGGCTTTGCACGTGGAACGTGCGTTAGGGGTCACCCATATCCATCGAGAGTAGCACACTATATGAAAGAAGGGAAAAAGCTACCCCACACAAAAAAACCGTAAGTGTATCAGCCCAGTGGTTGCCGAGATATAAGTCGTACAAAAACGTCCCCAGACTCCCCACGGCGGCCGGCCGCTATTTAGCAGTAAAATCGTGTCGCATCCTTCTATGGGAGGTATCCCCGTCACCTGTTCGTATACTGTCTGAGCAAAGGCCATACGTTACGGTCCAAACTCCATAGTGAGGCGGACATACGAATTTACGAGAGTTTAGCGACGAAATGATTCACTTAATTGTTAAGTAATGGGTACCATTAGGTAGACCATAAATTTTATCTAGCATCTCACCGTAGATGCAGTAAAAAGTGCTTTACTTTTCAATGTATATAAAGACTTGCTCAGCTCAATCAGTTCACTCTGTATTGGCTCAAGCCGTATCATGCGAGCGCAATACAAACTAGAGCACCAGACAGCGCAGCGCTCCCCAACTCACTGCTCGCCCAGTCCACCCGGGCCGCCGCCACGACGGCCCCCCGCAAGTAGGCATCCCGCACTGCACCGACAGCCGCGGGCGACCAGCTGACCGGCCAGCTGACCGGCCAGCAGCCGGCGGGCGGCAAGCCGCGGATGGCCGACCCGCCAGCGCGGCGAGGGAGGGGAGGGACGCAGCTGAAAGACCCGACTACATATATATCAAAGAAACATTATATGTAATCATCGATGACGCGACATAAATCTGCTTTATTGGGGTTAGCGGTGTAGTCTGTGATGCCATCACAATGAAAATAGCCTAGTTTTGTAGAGTATCAAATTCTGATTCCATAACGACTCTCGCTAGTCCATTTTCAATTGTAAATAAGCCTTTTATTGCGATGCAAAGTCCCGAAATGGTGCCGACGGCGGCCGGTCCCCCGATGGTACCATACCATAGATGGTAAACAGGTTAGTTCACATTCCCGCCGCTATGCGGGCGGCGGCGGCGCCACCTGTCCTCGTGTCCGCCTGACACCGTAACGATATAGGTCTGAGCTCAAATCTCGGTAATGTCGTGCTTTTTTACGAAATTTCTCAAAAACGGCAGCACGTGCAATAACGTTGTATATATCATTGGAAAGAGCATCAAAAGTTGTATAAAACATCAACTTTTGACTTAAACATATCTTAAACGTAAAAAGGTATTAAGCAGCAAAGACGCTCCTATTGACTTTCCATGTTAAAATTTTTCATTTTTAAACGAGCTTCAAAAGAGCAAACGAATTCTGACAGCTTAACGAAGCATAACAACATGTTCTATGGTCTTTTCTCAACAAGTCCTGAAAGTTTAAACAAAATCGTATCATATAATTTTGTACAATGAGTGAATGAAAATGCCTCTGCAAAAACGCCCATTGACTTAACATGGGGAGCGAAAAAAGTTCAACTTCAAACTCGTGCAACTCAAGTTAACGAATTCTGACGGGAATACGGCGCACACTGGCGTGTACCAGAACGTGTTTGCCATAAAATGCTGGGAAGAAAACCACCTCCTTCTTGGCTCGTTTTCCCGCTATTGGCGATCGCGCAAAAAATGTCCAAAAGCCCATTGACTTAACATGGGGAAAATGCAATTGCACGTGGCACGCGCAATGATTTTTGTTGCGAGTAGCGACCGGTACCATCAGGTAGATCACCTGCAAAAGTCTATATCCTGAAGTTTTTACGATCCTAGACGCAAAACTGTAGGCTGCGACCAAGTTGCCCCAATTCGCGGCCAGACTTGCAAAACATAGCCCGGAGAAGGACCGCTCCGGTTGTTTTTCAATAGAAAAACACAATTCTAACGAATAGTGTTTGTCTTTTCAAACAACCTGCGGTTACCAGCATCTGCGATGCTGGGCTCCGCATCGCGGGACCGCAGGTTGTTTGAGCAAGCACCTCTGTAACGCCGCAAAAACGCCCGCCGCCAAACGAGAGGATGAGCCTTGCACGTGCAGATCGGAGTGCGTGTTCTACGAACTGACGTGCACTGCACTCTACGCCGCCAACCGCAAAACGCCGCAAAAAACGGCCGCCCGCCGTCAAACGCAAAAACCGCAAAAATGCGCCCGGCCGCCGCCAACCGAAAATAAACCTTTTACCGAAAACGACGCAAAAACAAAATCACCCGTTTCGCGGCGGGCGGGCGATGGGCGAATTTTTTATGGGCGATTTTTTCAGCCAAACTCAGACTCGGGCTCTGAGTGCAGCCTGAGTTATAGATGTCGCTGTCATTCAGCCACTGAAACAAAAGCGCCACGATTACCGTCAAATCATATTTCCTACGCGGCCGAGAAAAAAATGAAGCGGAAAGTGAGTAAGACCTACCTGACACACGGTACAGTTGTTTTGAACATCACCAGTTGAACCACGAGGCATCCATATTCCATACCAACGAAAAGTTTTCCATCTCTTGGTATATTAGCCGTAGGCTAATATTCCAGGCAGCGGCACGAGGAGCCGGATGGAGGAAACATGGATGCACGCTTGGTAAGGGCTGGATAGTATATTAGGACGTGAGCTTTACCAAAAGGCATCCACGCACCGCGCTGCCCGCCCTTGACGCAGTTAGCAAAAAAGTTGGCTCCAAATGTGATAGCCATCTTTCAATTACGTTAATTCAAGTTCGAAAGATGATTGGTGTTACTAAAAAAAGACTACGTCAAGAGCCCGTTACGATGTAACGGAAGACAAACCAGCCACTCCACACCTAGGCAGTTTTTCACACGCATTCCTGCATTCACACTCGCCATTTCGTGCACCGGCCTGCCCGCTGCACAACGTAATATCTATGGCAACTATACTGTCTAAGGCATGATTGTTGCTCCTAATGGTTTTCTTTTTTCACAGACTGGAGTGTGCTTTACATGAAAATATAATGTAGTAGATGATACCTGCTCATTTCATCACTAAACGTGTGAAATGTTCAAATCATGTTGGCATGTGGATAAGATCCGAGACTAGGAATTTAAAGTGTAGAAATGTCGGTGGCTGCTGGACGCATCTGCAACTGAGCTCATGGTCCTAATCATCCGCGAAAGTGACGAAACTACAGGAATGTCACGATAAAGATGCGCAGTACCCTGTATGTTCATGGCATACAGCTGCAAGCTAAGACAAAACTAGAAACGATCTTTGGGTAGAACATATAAAGTGAAGCAATACCAATGCAGAACTACTTGGAGTCACAGGAACCAGTGTGTCCAACATATCAATCAGCTAACATGTAAGAACGCATGTGTAAGGCCGCATGTGCAACTGTAATCCCTCTTGATCGACTACAAGAATGGAAAGAAAACGTCAACGGAGTAAAACTTCACCATGTGAATCTGCGTATAACTGGCATTCGTGATCAAGTATGCACAACAGATGTGAGGTGAGGACGCGGTGTCATTGCGATACAACATCAACTGATGCAATATTGGAATGCATTTTGCACTCATTCTTGCATATTGATAAGATCAAAAGTAAGGCGATAATGTGGATAAGTGTGTTGACAGATGTCGAAGACTGACGGTGATTACGAACTGCTTAACAGGCGACCGGATTGACGGTGATGCGCCTGACCGATCGTTGGAGTGCATGTCGCATCTGATGTCTATGGAAAACGGCAAAGGAGAAAACAGGACTATGGTGAAGGGCTGTTCTAACATCACATAGAACGGGAATGAGCAGTAACACCTCCCAATGAAAGCAGTGAAAAACAGCGAAACTGCCTGTTTATCCTGCCATGGTGCTAATGCCCAAAGTCAAGTTTTGTTTGTGTGTGTGGAAAGCGGTAGGGCCCTATGTGCTAAGCTTTCATCCGTTTTAGCTTTGGTATCACAATACAAGTATTAGGTGCTCGCACACTACTGCCAGTAGTTCAGTCGGTACTGAGTAGCCCGCAGCTAATAACAACCTGATATTTGCTTCCTGCACAAACGTAGATGGCGGCTAGCATTATGGAAGTGTCTTTACATGATGAGTCTGATCGACGATGATGAATGAAATAATCATTTGAACTCGTTGAAAGATGACGATGTCCGGGTCACAACGAAGTGACTTAAAACTTGCAGGATGAATAACTGATGATTGGGCCGATGAATGTGGCTTGTGCTGCAGCCGAGGCCTGTGGGGACGGACGACCGGTGAGGTACAAATGGAGCAAGGAAACGAGACGTGAATGTACACCAAGCACAATGATATTTAGCTATCATAAGCGTTGACAATGGTGAATAGTCGAGCTGTTCGTCATATTGAGCCTTCACGTCATAGCCATTGCAATATCAAGCTCCCCAAATTGTCATTAGCTTTCGCAGCCCAAGTCCAGTATTGAGTGCTCAAAGAACTTGCCAAGGCAATATAGCTGTGAGCAGCCCGAAGTTCATGGACGGATGATGACCTTTCCCTCTAGCAAAAAGTAGACGACGTCCAGCGCTATAGTCGAACAGTGCCACTGCCAGAAAGGGAGAAGGTTTGCGAAATTCGGTTCGAATATCGGGAATTCGGGAATTCGGTTAGATGGTTATGGAATGGACCATATTAAGGCATTTAGAATATCCTGCGCACGGTTTTCCTGAAAACCTGAAAACCGTAGATAGTGGGAAAACCTCAGGGGGGGGGGCGGAAATCCGCCCCCCCCGTCGGTGCGCGGGATATATTTGATTGATATGTGTAGGCACTGCTTTAAAAATACAGTAAAACACTGAAAACTAGTGATGTCAATTACGGAAAATCGGAATACCGATACCAAACCAAATACCAACCAAAACCGTGGAGAAATATACCGAAACCAAACCAACTTGGGAACATGAGGAAAAAACCAACTTTTTACCGATTTCTTAGCCTCTTAGACATTAGCGAGGGTTCATGATACCAACAAAATACCAAACACATTAGGATTGAAATACCAAATACCGAGTTGGTATCGGTTTGGTATTGGTATACCAAAAAGTTGGTATCCGATTGACATCTCAACTGAAAACCAAAGCAACGTTGGAATGATTTTCCGTAGGTATGCGTTTAGTTAGCCAAGCAAACAAAGTCACAGGCTCTTGCACATATTACAGAGTGCTCCGGCACTGGTGTAACAAACAACTCACTTGCACTGGGGTTCGGGCTCACAGAGTAGATCCAACAGATAACAGGTCGCATTCAGCATTGCGCCGGACACTGCTGAAAATGTTGACAAGTGTCTGTCAGTAAACGCAAACATCAATCCCAATAGATAGGTACATGAAGACGATGACAAACATGTTGGCATTGTGTAGGAATGAGGACAGTAAATGATCACACAAAATGTAAAGCATTCTGCAACGTGTTGACAATGGACATTCAAATATGAATACATACCAGCCGTACGCAAGTGTCTTCGAAAATGTTGACCTCTTGATGGTGATGGAGAAGGTGTATCACGTCCACAGGCTTCAAGAAGTCGATCCATTGTCCGCATATTGTTAAATTTGGTCATCACATGTCCGTTTTCAACGCATCCGTAAACCGATGGCGAGAGCATTTAAGAACGTTTGAGCATGTGACTGAAATACTCAAAGACACAAGTTGGAGGAAGGAGCAGGCGAAAAAAGAAAGATAACAACACAGTGTATGAGCATCGTGTTCCAGTGCTAAAAATATAACTGAACAGGAAATGCAATATCATGTGTGGATCGCTCATGAGTGTGAACACATGCTTACATAGATGCATACCTACACTATACGAAAACATGACCGCTTTTTACGAGTGATTAACTGCTACATTCAGTGAACTGCATCATGTGGTACATGTTTGCGGGCGGAGCATGTCTACCGAATTCATCGGCAATACAATTAAAACAAACACACACATACGTAGAACTAGATGATGAGAGCTAGTGTAAGCGGGTGTACAGGTGGCTAATGTATATCTGCAGATAACTAATAGCTAGTGACAAATAAAAAAGTGCCAGCAACGGCCAGCGCAATGGGTGCTCCGTGATCGACGGTAAAATCTTCAACGGTATCGACGGTAAAGATGACTGGTAATGCACCTGTGAAAATAGGAGAAGCAACGGATGATTAGCTGACATGACAGCAAGTCGAAACGAATCGTCGATAAAATATAATATGTCAAGTCCGCGGATTTCTAAGCTTATGATTTTTCGATTTCGACGACTGTGAGTGAAAATGCATTTCAGATGAGATATTCGATAAATATTACTAAAACCCTTAGAAGTCAATAGGCAGAGGGCTACAAGCCTACTTTATTCAACGTTGAATACCCACCCATAAAGGTCAGTTCATCCGAGTATTACCGCCTCCAAAAAATTAACGTTTTGTAGGCATACAGTACCGTAAAACCGTTTGGAATCTTGGAGCAGAGCTGTTCGTTAAGCTAACAGCATCCTTTGATAATGAAATGGGCCGGAGGCAGAAACTGGCACTTGAGAATGCAGAGGCAGTCATCACACAGTCCCAGAAGACGTGACTGGACAAGGCGTCCAAGCGGCGCCTGGTCATACACGTTGCCATTGGACTACTGCGAAATCAGCCTGACAGGCACTAAGGACAAGGAGTTAAAGTTTTGAACACGCTTTTCGTTCCCTTGTTGCATTACAAAAAAAAAAATATCACGTTGTGAGGCATATATGGTTTGGTAGCG